CACCATTCAAAGCCGCAGGAGTTCTGGGGGCCATCCACCAAGCTGTGTCTGCAATTGTTACAGCAGGATGTCATTGATGACATTTTTTGGGCCTCGGAATTGCAACCTGTTATTGCCAGACTGGAAAATCCCCAAAACCAACATGATGCGTCTGAGTTCCTGGTTCATCTTTGGGAGATGTGGGGACAGACTGGCTTACAAGGCAACTGGAGTGCTCACTTTGGTGGAAGGGAACATGAATTTGACACCATTCCGCTCTTCATCCGCATGCCGCTGGAAGCCGGGGATGAAGCCAACTTTGAGCAGCTGCTGGCTGAATGGGCCAATGAAGGCAATGGCCAGTGTCTAGGACCTGATGTTGACCACATAGTGTTCCACATTGGCAGGTACTCACTCTCCACTACAGCAAAGGAGTGGGTCAAACATCACAATCGTTTGCACACCCCTTCAAGCTTCAGGTGCCCGCAAAAGACCGCCACAGACCACGTGGGTCACTCCACCTTTGTGCTGCGGGGTATCATAGCCCACCAAGGAGAAGAGCTGATTTCTGGTCACTACAACGCCTTGTTAGTTGAAGGAGAGGCGGTGTGGCTGGTGGATGATGGAGAGTGCCCCCAGGTTCAAAAGGAGGTACCGGATAGCATCAAGAGAGGGGCAGTCATGATCTGGGCCTCGCGTGCTGAGCAGAGCAGTTTCTGGACTCAAACAGTGGGCAGGTTCGATCCACCGGCCAAAAGGGTGAAAACTGATGCGGGCGCCATTGAGGTCTTCTATGGCAATGTCACCCATTGGAACAATGACGTCAAGGATTGGCTGCTCCAGCAGGACATGCAGATTGCTATGCTGGTTGAGACACATGTGACTGGACATAAAGCAGCCCTTGCAGCACAACAATTGGCAAGAAGCCGATGGCAACTGGAAAAGGTCGATGCCTTTGAGACAGGCCGAGGTGGAACCAGTGGTGGTCAGTTCTTCTGCAGTCGGGAGGGCCAGTCGACGTACCGCATCCACCATTATGACAAAGAAGGGAATGGCTTCCTGGCAAATGTCCTGCAACGTCAGAAATGGGAAGTGGTGCTGGTGTCAGTCTACCTCCGTACGGGAGAGGACCTGAATTCGGTGACCAATGCCATCATCCTGGGTGAATTAGCGGCCTTCCTTGGTGAACTTGCAGTACCATGGATGCTGGTTGGAGATTTTCAGGTTCCTCCTGAGCAATGGGCTGGGCATCAATTGTTGAATGTGCTCAAGGCAGAGGTTGTCAAAGGCGGGCAGCCGACGATGATCAATGGGGCAGAACTTGACTACTTGATTGCAAGTCGAACCCTGTCACCGTTCATTGACATCAAGATCAACTGGGACGTCCCGTGGAAGCCGCATGCGGGTCTGGTGGTGACAATCGACAGTTCAGCACCCAGCCTGCGCCTGCCTCAAGTCACTCAGTATGCAGCCGTCCCAAAACTGCAAAGCAGCCCCAAGCAATGGGAGGAATGTAAGCCGTCCCTGAAACCCTATTGGCTGGGTCGTCAAATGGGGCCAAAAGAGATACAATGTGCAGAGTGGTGTCATCGTGCTGAGCAGTACACCTTGCAGAACCTGCATGACCCGAAGATGGGAAGGGGATGGTACCTTGCCATTGAGCTAAAGCCTCTGCCGCAAACCAGACCTATGACACCCTGGCGAAGAGGTGATTTGGCATACTGGGGCCAATTTTGCTCCTTGCTGTCCCACATCGAGAGCAAAGGAATGGTCAGCACGGCAGCTATGGTGCACTTAAAAGCAAAAGCAGCAGATCTACCAACGAGGTGGCAAAACATCCATGGAGATGGTGAGTTCTGTGCAGCGCTGGAAGCCTTGGTTTCGGGTGAGCCCATGCCCTTGCCGGTGCTTGTGCGTGGAGCGGAGGCCAACTATGACTTTGCAAAAAAGGCAGTGCTGCAGCGGCAGAAATCTCAGGATTATCAGGCCTGGCTCTCTGAAGCTTCTCTGCGTGGACACAGTGGCATCTATAAGTGTCTCAAGGCTCCAGATGTGGTCCATGCGCGGCCTTTCCGGAATGTCCCGGTCCAGGACAGACAGCAGCTGAGGGAACAACAGTGGTATGACCGGTGGACAGTCATTGAGCAGCCCAGATCAAGTGCAGAGAGGGAAAGGCTGAGATGGGAAGGCATTGTGCAGGCCAGGACTCGGGAGGACCTTGACCCTCATCAAGTGATGAAGAAACTGGCAAAGCTCCCACAAAAGGCAAGTGGTCCTGATGGCATCAGCTACGCCATGCTCAAGAACTTGCCGCTTGAAGGGGTCACTGATCTGTGCAACATGTACAGACAGTGGGAGCTCAATGGACGCCTGCCTGACCAAGTCTGTACGACACTGGTGGTGCTGCTGCCAAAGAAGGAGGACATAGAGCGGCCAATCAGCTTGACCAGTGTTCTTTATCGCACTTGGTGCAAGCTTCGATGGCAAAAGCTCCGTGAGTGGCAGACTGATGTTGGGCCGAGAATGCCATGGGAGAGAAGCATGCCGGGCATGCAGGTTATGCATGTCGCCCTCATGCGCATGCTCAAATGTGAGGTCGGCAAAGCCATTGGACGCAGTGTTGTGTCTCTGCTGGTGGACCTCCAGTGCTTCTACGACTCTGTGACCTTGGAGCTGCTGCTTGGGCTATGGGAACCGCTGGACTTCCCGCCGGCCATACTGAATGCAGTCTATGAAGTGTACTCGGGCCCAAGGATGCTACAGGCCGAACAGGTGACGTCTCGACCAGTTCACTGTGAGCGAGGAATCCTGGCTGGATGCCCTGTGGCTCCCCTCATTGCCAAACTAGTCCTTGCCCCGGTCATCGAGCGCTTCAATGCAGCCTTCCCCAAAGCTACGGTTGACGTGTGGGTCGACGACATCTCTGTCGACTTTGTCGGGACTGATGTTCAGCTGCTGAGCAGGGAAGCCTTGAAAGGCTATGAGCTTTTGCGGCAAGAGCTGGAAGGTATTGGCCTGCAACTGTCCAAGGAGAAGACGGGATTCCTCACGTCGTCCAATGAATGCAAGAAGACACTTAATCTTCTTCGTGGGGACGAGCAGCCAAAAGTCCACGACCTCCTGAAGGATCTTGGCTTGGATTCAAACGGAGGTCGACGTCGGAGGATTGGAACCCAGCAGAAGCGCCTCCTGAAAGGCAAAGGACGACGCTCAAAGCTCATGTACTTGAAGTTGCGGTCCAGACCAGTGAGGATCCGCGTCTGGAAAACCTCTGTTCATGCCGCTGCGGGCTATGGCATGGAAGCTCAGGGCCTGGCGCCTCAGAGAATGCGTGTCCTCCGTCAGCAACTGGCAAGGCATGGGGGGTTGCAAAAAGGAGGTGGTGTGGACATTGTGTATGACCAGCACGTCAAACTCCAGGATCTGAAGGACACCATTGTGGAGCGACAAATGAAGGCCATGCGCCAGCTGCTTAAAGCTTGGCCACCTGCCCAGCTTGGGGAGTTGAAATCTGCCTGGCGCATTTCCTGGAAACGGCTGGCTACGGCGGCTTACCCATGGATGGTGGTGGCAGGCCCAATGGCAGCTTTGCAGGCCTATTTGATGGATATGGGCTGGGAGGCAGTGGACATGGATGACTGGATCCGGGCTCCGACTGGCCTCATGCCGCCGCACCAGTTGAATTTGGAGCATCCATGGCCTCACCTTCAGCGCCAACTGCACTTGAGCAGAAGCATCAGCGTGCACGGAGGATCCAAGAACTTGAGCACTGCTTTCCGCTGATGAGAAGACCGGACTGGACAGTATATCACAAAGTGATGCGTCGCCTGAAAGGGCCTGCGAGAACAGCAGTGGATGCCTGGACACAAGGATCCTTGAGGACTCACGGGGGGGGAACGTCGTGTGTGTCCTCTATGCAATGTTCCAGTCACCCTGAAGCATCTCATCTGGGAATGCTCGTATCATGTGCAAGACCTCCCTGCAGAGTGGCAACGTGACATCAGGGCAAATGAGCATGCCATGCTTTCTGATTGACCAGTGGTTGGGATGGAATCCTTGGAGCTGCATGGGGTGTTTGCCCATGGATGGCCAATCCGACTGGCCCCTCATCAACGCCTTGCCATTGGCGTACGGCCTACCTGCAAGGATGCCCGCCTCAAGCGCTATGCAGTGGCCATCACGGCTGGCTGCTGGCAAGATGGGTCATGGCAACTCATTGGAGCGTGCACTGGGCTGGCACCTGGGGAGGCCACTGAAGCCCGTGCCTGGTTCTTTGGACGCTGGCTCATCCTGCAGGCCACTTTGGGGCGCCACCAGATCAACATTGCCCACAGAGGTGGTTGGACGGCCATCAACAAAGGCAGTGGTGGCACCTGTGCACCTGAGATGTGGCACAGTCTCCCTGAGGGTGAACAAGAGCTTGAGCTCCAGCTCAATGATGAGGACAAGTGGTACCAGGAGGTGTATGAGGCAGCAGCGCAGCGTGTTGGCACCCTCCTCACTGATCCTGAATGGACAAGTGGAACCAGTAGTTGCACCCTACAAAGTGCAGCAAGAGAGGCCGCGGGGGCGCTTGGATGTGCTTCGCAGGTTGAGCCAAAAAGCCCATGGCCCTGGTGAGCAGCAATGGCAGTTGAAGGGCCAAGGACTGATGTGCCTGCTGTGCAGCCTCCACATCAAGAGCTGCTCGACGCATGCAGAGATTGAGGCCAAGGCAGCCACGGTATGCCCAGGCGAGAAGGTCAAGACTTTGACGAGTCTCATGGAGGACATGATCTCTGTTTCGCCCCTGCAACAAGACTTGGTATCTCCGAGCCAGTTCCTTTGGATGCAGCCGATGTTGGATCAAGGTTGCACGGAGATGTGGTAAGGAGACGCTCCACAAGCTGGCAAATGAACCCTGCCACTTTGCAGCAGTGACAGAGCAGGACCTCCATCTGCGCATGAGAGTCCACCCCCAGCACCAGCTGATGCAGAGGGGTCAGTGGCTTGAGTGTCAGAAGTGCTTCAAAGTCTCCAAGATGATTGACGGCAAACTGCAATCTTGGATGGCACAAGAGTGCCTTGGAAAGGCACGTCAGACTACGCTGGCCTTTGCACCGAGTTCCAGCAGTTAGGTTCCTGTGAAGCCTCCCCGCTACAAGGAGAACGAGCCTTGGCGGGACCCGCTTTTCCCTTGGTGGTGCGGGAGTCGTTGAAGCAGAGTGAAAGAACCGAGCAAAAAAAAAGAGACACAAAGCAGAGAACACAGAGAGAGAGAGAGAGAGTGAGAGAGAGAGAGAGAGAGAGAAAGAAAGAGAGAGGAAGCGCATGATGCATCTGGTGCAAGATGGACTGCGCTGTGCTAGAACATGCGTTTGCCACGTTCAGCAGCTTTTTTGGCCCAAATTGAGGGAGCCATAGTCTCTGTCCAAAGCTGCCAGCGCCGAGGCTTTTCATAGCAAAGCAACAATCATTTTTGCAAAAAATCATTGGTTCATGACATGAAATGGTGTTCTTTGAGCTCGTGAATTCTGAGGGTATCTATGCAGCCCTTGGTATATTTGGCAGTCCGGGGTTGGCTTGGCTGGATTCAATTTGTGGAGCGGTCCAGAAGAGCTTTTTTGAATAGCTCTTTAGTCTTGGTGGCCGCTGGGGCTGTGCACTGCTGGGCGGTGGTATATTCACTATTTGTTGCCGTGCACACGCGGGCAATGCGTTTCAGGCTCAGTTGACATTTTTGTGCGTGATCCTGGCGAATGTCAGGCAGCATGTTCACCTTGTCATGTGGTAGCGCCAGGACTTGGTTGTCATTGTCGTCGAAGTTCGTTGGCCCTCGCTCAAATGGGCCCTCACAATGTCATCGTTTGCCACAAGAGTGTCCCGCCAGAGTGCCCCACAAGAGTGCCCTACAAGACTGTGCCACAAGAGTGCTCCACAAAAGTGTCCACACAAGTGTCCTACAAGAGTGTCCCACAAGAGAGCGCCCTACAAGAGTGTTTAGCAATCCTGCAAGAGTGCCCCACAAGAGAGTGCCCTGCAAGAGTGTGCCGCATGCCACGCGCCCTACAAGAGTGTCCCACAAGAGTGTTGGACAAGAGCTAGGTTACGAAAACATCATTGCTGCCATTGCTTTTGATTTGGATGAGGACGTCATTGTTGTGTTGAGTTGTATTGGGTTACAATGTGACAAAAGGCATGCTTGTGTCCACAGCCAGCTTGCGATCAACGCCTCGCCCCGCCCAGCCCTTCCACTGACAGTGGGCACTTGAGGGTTGGTATTACGCCACAGTGAGCAACACGTGCAACCACACAGAGAGGAACCCCGGTTTGAACTCATCATGAGGTACGAATAGATTGAATTATATAAGGAGTTTACGAATTTTTGAACGAAAGGTTTGCAAGGTCACACTTCTTGGTTTCAGGCTTGGTCACAAAGAACAAGGAATATTACCAGGGAATTCATCAAGGAGTTGTGCCTTATCATAGAGTGGATCTACAGGTGCACGCACGCTCAAAGGATACGCTTGGTTTTGCAAAGAAGAGAAGTCGGCTAGGAATTTAACAATCTCTCCAGTCTGTGGAAGTAACGGTCTGCTGTAAATACCGCCTAACTTCTATGGAATCCAAGAAGAATGATGGAAGATGCGCTGGACTTCTTGTATCTTGGGTACATTTGGCAGAGGCCTACCAGTATATAGCATGAAATTAATGGCAAGCTCATACCACGTAATTCCAACGCCTGAAGAAGGTCTCTTAAACATGTCCAGACAGGTGCTTCCAAGCACATGTCACATTCCAAGGGACACATATAATCATCAAACGAATTATATAATATAAAGGTCTGTGAGCCTGCTTGTTCCAGTTTAGATTGAGTAGAGCACTTAGATCTGAAAGCAGGGCCCTCTATTGTGCGTGATTGTGGCGAAAGATGGAACGTGAGGCCTGCTTAAGCAAATCCATCTCATGGTTGCTTGTGGTCACCAGCTCTTCCTGCTAAAACTACCGAACACACCAAAAAAAGTCTAGAACACACTGGCGCCAGAACATAGGAGCCACGAACCAAGCTGCTGTGGAAGTCATGTGAGGTCAGAGTTGGATTCTTCCGCAGCACCGCAACTCCTTGCTGCCACCTGAGGTTTCAGTGGGTACCACCAAGGCAGCAGCGAGCAATTGCCACAGGCAGTAGCACTCACAGAGACACTCGCCGTCAGCTCCTTGTGGGTTTGGCTCATTGCCGGATTCACAACGGCCGCCGTGCGGATGCTTGACGAGGATGCGGATGGATTGCCTCTAGGACACTGGCACCAGTTTTCTGATTCAAGTAGATGGTGACCCATGGTCAAACAGTGAATGACAAACGGCCCTCAGCATGCCAGGAACCGAGGATCTCAAGTGGGGGCCGCTCCTTGCTTGCAAGACTTAAGACCATGGACTTCGTTTGATGTTCAGGGCTTTGGTCGGGCATAGCAGCGTTGGCTGAGGATTTTGCGTTTCATCCGGTCTCCTTTCCTTCACAGTGCTTTGGGGCACGCGCATTCAGTGAGCTGTGTGGGATTGTTTGTCAGCATCATCTTGCTTTGCGCGACAATGGCTACAATGAAAGGTGGCTGCTCGGCGGCAATGACTGCTCCAACTTGTCACCTTTGACGAGCCGGCCTCCACCATTCTTTCATGATAATTTACAAGCTGTTCCGCGCTGGGAAAGAATGAGAGTTGGTCTTTCCATTTTCTAGTATTTGATCAGCCGCCTGCTGAAGAAAGGCATCTTGGGAAGAAAGCAAAAACCATTGAAACAACCTTCAGATAGGTAAGGAAGCCACGGATTCTGCCGATCAACTATGCCATCAACACTCAAAAAATATGCTCACGATCTCCTGGTCATGCTGAGGCATTACCGTTTGCGAGTCCTGCCTGGCAATTGTGGCGATCGGCTTTGCCTTTCCCCATATGGTTTTGGCTGGAAGGCGCTTGAGCGATTCAGCTGTACAGACCTCAGACTGCCAGAGCGCGTTCCTAGTTGCAGAAGCCAGAGCAGAAGGACGCTTTGAAGGTTCTGAGGCCTACACACCTCTATAAAGTTGGAACTTGCCAATTCTTGAGGATCAAGCCCTCTCTGAAGTGCTTCCAGATGACAGCTTGGAAGCTGCAGCAGCAGAAGCAGCGGCAATTGGACCTCAGCTTTGTGTTATTTTGTCCCTCGCAGATGTTACCCGGCTAACAGTTCTAGTCACGCTCCTGCCTTTTAAGCTGTCTGTTTCCCCACAGGGGCAGAAAGCAAGGAGCAGGCGGAATTTTGGAACCCTGCTGCATGTCCGAGATTGGGCTACACTGACGGTGGAATTTATCAGTACTGACCACGGAGATTGGAGTAGTCCCAGCTCATTCCTGAACACCTCCTAGAGACCAATGCTGTGGTGCTTTTCCGGGACGGTAAGCCTTGGTTTGCGCGAGCGGTTTTTGACTTGCACCAGAGTTTCATGCCCCCAGATAATTGGAAGCTATATCAGAACACGCGACATCTAGTATAAATATTAGTGTAAATGAAAAAACGTATATTCACACCGCTTCGCAGTCGAAGCCGCCGGCAAGGAAACCTGTGCTCTCGCAGCCGGGACATGGGTAAATGTAGCAGTAGCAGGGGTGCCACTAGGAGAGGGGCTCAGAGCAGCTAGAATCCCACCAGGATACGGGTTGGTTATTGGTGAGGAAAGCAACTTGTGCTCGCAGAGCCAGGAGGAAGCGGGTCAAGCGAGAAGAAGTGCACATTAAGGAAAAGACGGCGAAGGAAACGTCGAGGGGTGGTTAGTTTAGCCAATTTGGGTAGTGCTGGATAGTGTTGCAGTATTAGGAGGCCACCGATCATTCTGAGCAGCTCCGATGTTTCCAGATCGCACCGAGTCGCTGCACGCAAAAACGACGCGCTGCTCGAGACACCCCCCCCAACAAAAGCTGTCCACAACTACCACGCACATGATATCAATCGTCTGTTTCCTTGAGAAGGACTGTCGAGCAGACAGCCTGGACGAACACGCGTCCACGATGTCGATAACGCATAGCCGGCATCCCGAACGTTTACTTCCGAAGCCATGCGGAAAATCATGCGCGCGATATCAATTTTTAATCAGAGACAAGGAGAGGAAAACGAAAGGGGGAGAGAAAGGGAGAGACAAAGAGAGCGAGAGAGAGAGAGAGAGAGAGAGAGAGAGAGAAAGGGGGAGAGGATGCAGTTGGCTCAAGATTTGGGCTCAAGGGTCAGGTGGCTCAAGCTGGTTTGCCACGTGATCTTGAACGGCGCTGGTCCTACCCGTTTGTGTTTGCCTTGGTCCATTCCTGCCTGAGGGTGGCCTTGAACTATGGTTGGAGGGGCGTGGGATGGCTTCAGGAAGGTGAAAGCTCGAAGAGAGCACAATGTATGTGCAGGATGTGATGGGTCGTGGATTTGGGCTGACAGGGTCAATGACACCAGATGGTGCTGTGACCATTGTGGATTGCAGTGGGTTGCAGGGAAAGATCCATCCAAGGTACTGGAGAGACAGATCAAGCAGGCTGGAGACACCACTAGGCTTGGGAGGACGTGATAGACGACCCAAAGGAAATCCAATGATGTGCGCAAGTCCCTGCAATCAGTAGGGACCGACTACTCCCCAGAGCCAGAGCTGCAGTCACTGGAGTCAGTGTTGAAAGCTCACCTACAGTCCTTGCCAGGAGAAGTGAAGACAGCAGTGGAGACCCTCCTCAAGGCATGGTCCGCGAGTTGCTGCGGCAACTGTCCAACAAGAAGGCTGGCTTGCAGAAGAGGGTGGACACGGCAAAGGAGCAATACAAGCTTGTGCTGGATGAGCTGAAGAGTGTGCAGGAGTTGATTGACAAAGAACAGCAGCAGCTTACGGCCCAGTCACAAGCCTATGCCTATGCAAAGCTCCTGAAAGAGGAAACCAAAGAAGCTGTAGATAAGGAACTCCCGAGATTGATCAGGATGCCAACGACCATGTGCTCAAAGCCTTGGCACAGGTAGGCATCCTCTATACAGATGCACAGAAGTCAGAACTAGAGTGGCATCTGGCGGAGAGCTTGCTGAAGCGCCACAAGAAGTCAGAAGGCCAGCATTCAGGGTAACCCTGACAGACGGCCGAGCTTCAGACATGTTGGATGTGGAAAGTGGGGCATAGCGCTAGGGGATGTGGGGAGCAGGCGCCGAGTTCTATATACTATGTCACTGTCAAGAGCAGCTCACTGAGACTGCTATCTCCGGGACCTGTGAACCTGCTAGCCCTGACCATCAGAGCGGTTTGAGCAACTTCACGGGAGGAGTGGCCTACGCAAACCTCCAAACCCTGCAAAGGGGCCCAGGAGAGGAACCAATAGCTGCTGCTCGCCGTGAAGGTCAAGCTGAGGAAGATGTTGTTGACACTGCCAGTGCAAAGCCAATGGGAGGTAGTTCAACACACCATTGGGATCCAACAAATGAGTTGGAGCAGGTGGCGCAAGAAGCGGACACCACTGGGTAGAAGGAGGATGTCTCTGGGGCACTGCGTTGTTCGGGCTCAGAGCAGCCAGGCTTGCCTGGACTGCAGGACCCTGAGAGACATCCGCCTGCGCAACCCCACGAAAAAGGGGCAAAAGGAGGGGTTGCTCACGCTAATGCCAACCGATGGGGTATCAAAGCCGTGTGCCTCTTGGGTGGAGGTAAGCGGGAAGGGGAACCAATGGACGGCGTCTATGAAGATGAGGATGCAGAGTTGACACAACCATTGACGCCAGGACATCTTCGTGATCGGCTTGCAGTCTTGCAGGCCATTCGTGCGCTGCCAGCTGAGTGTAGGGATGATATGGAGAATGGCCAGGTTGAGACTAGAGTCTGGGGGTTAGAGGCTTTGAAGCATGTTTTGAGAATGAGGCTTGCTCTGCAGAGGAAGTTGAGATTGTGCCGGCCTGTTGAAGAGTAGCCGGATATCCCCTCGGCTGTGGAACTCCTAGCAGCAAATCTGACTCTTTGCATCCACAACAAGGGCAACAGGTGCTTTGCCAATGCGGTCCTGCGTATGTGGTGCTGGATGGGAGCTCACCATGAAAAGCCGGTTGGGGGCCATCAACCAAACTGTGCATGCAGCTGCTCCAACAGGATGAGATTGCAGACATCTTCTGCGCATCCGAGTTACGGAGAGTCATAGCGAGATTGGACAATCCTCAAGGTCAGCGTGATGCTTCTGAGCTTTTCATCCTGCTATGGGAAATGTGGTGGCAGACAGGGCTCCAAGGCAACTGGCCCTCAATTTTTGGAGGGCGGAAGTGCGGTATGCCACTGGAACAAGGGGATCCTGCCCAATGAAGCAAGTGGCCAGTGCCTGGGTGAAGACGTTCGGCGCATTGTCTTCCATGTGGGGCGCTACACACTGGTCAACAAGGTTTGGACCAACCATCATAACAGATTGATTGCGCCACCCACCTTCAGATGCCCCCCAGATGACTTCCACAGGGCATGCTAATCACAGCGCCTTTGTCTTGAGAGGCATCATTGTCACATCAAGGAGAGGAGCTGATCAGTGGGCACTACACGTCCATGCTGGTTGAAAGAGATGCCATATGGGTGGTTGATGATGGTGAGTGCCCACAGGCCGGTCAGGACCTTTTGAAGGATCTCGGCCTGGACTCAAGTGGAGGGCGCCAAGCGGCTTCTCAAAAGGAGAGGGCGCCATACCAAGCTCCTGCACCTCAAGCTCAGTGCATTCGGCTGCGTGCCATGGTGTGGAAGCGCAAGGAGTGGCACCGCAGAGGCTCCACACTCCCAGCTGGCCAGACACGGTGGTTCACAGAAAGGGGGCAATGTTGACATCGTGTATGATCAATGTCCCAAGCTCCAAGACCCCAAAGGATACTGCAATAGAACGACAACTCGAAGCTGTTCATTTGTTGATCTTCAAACTGGCCACCAGCTCAGCGAGGGAGCGCATGTCCGCTTGGAGGGTGACTTGGATGCGGCTTATTATTGGATGGTGGTTGCTGGACCTATGGCTGCCCTGCAAGTGTACTTGATGGACATGGGGTGGGATGCCAGTGCCCTTGATGATTGTCAAGGCATCTTGCCGGCAGTTCAGCCCATATTTGCAGAGGCAGCTGCATCAGAAGCTACAGAGAGCAAGACGCATCTAAGAGCTGGAGCATTGTTCCCCGATCATGCGGCGACCTGACTGGACAACGTATCACCAGTTCCTGAAGACTGCAACAAGGAGTGACAAAGTTGCAGTAGATGCCTGGACACAGGGCTCTTCAAATCCACAGTGGTGGGGAACAAGTGTTATGCGTTCTGTGCAATGAAAGGGTGACCATGAAGCATTTGATCTGGCAGTGTGGCTATCATGCACAGTGGAAACGTCATGCAGATCCAGGCCAATGAGAACACCATGCTTTGGGCCAGAGGCCTGATTGATGCACCGTCTTATCAGCCGGTCGCCGGCCCAGACTCGTGTGAGGTTGAGAGCAATTTTGCAAAAGGATGGCCGGTGCGCCTGCAGTCCAACCAGAGAATTGCCATTGGAGTTCAAACCACTTGCAAAGACAGCAGGGTCAAGCGCTATGCTGTGTCCTTGATGGTTGGGGCATGGATGGTGGTTGGCTCCTGCGCGTCCTTGGCGCCAGGGCAGGCGACGGAAGCGAGAAGTTGGTTCTATGGGTACTCCTGCAAGCTGTGCTCGGTCGCCATCAGTTGAACATCCCACATCGAGCAGAGTTGCTCTACCCACGCTGAGATTGACAGCAAGATGGATTCTCCTTGCCCATGCAGGCCAGATCACCAAGACGATGGAGCAGCTGATGAGAGAGTTAGTCGAAGACTCCAGTCATCTTCCTGATGGCCAAGAAGGGCACATTTGGTTCCTGAAGGAAAGCAGCAGGCGCTGGCAGAAGGGAACTGTCAGATGAGGGAGGTCATAGGCGCCCCAGTCACATCTTTCTTGTGGACTCTGAAGCTGTGAGATGTGTGACCTGAAGCTGTAGATTGTGTATGATATGTGCCCCAAAATGGCAAGTTTGCTTCCTGTTGTATGTCTCTGCTCAGTAGACAGCTCATGGCTGAATTATTCCGGGGCCTATCGCATCAAACCCACCCTGGAATTATTTTAGTCAAGGAAAGACACCACACCAAATTCGGCTCTAAATTTTTGAATTGGTCTCACCAAAACTCGGGAGTAGACCCGAGACCTGGGAAT